TTGGTATTTTATTAATTCTGTTTATATCTAATATTAAATGTCTTTTACCTAGGAGGTTCTATCGCCTCCTTCTGACTTGAACCATTAATCTTCAGTCGTCAATTTAAAATTGCTGTCTCTTATTTTATTTTGTCTCAATATTATTTTTTATAGTCAATCTTAAATCTAATATGTTCTATATTAATTTTTCGATATTATATATATTTTATATCTTTCGTCTTCCATTTGCCATTTCATTTCATTTTGCATCTACTATCTTCATCTCCTATATACCATTTAATTTCATTTTCCTTCTACTATTTTTTGTCGTTCCTCTTCATCCATCTTTTAATCTTCTACGTTTTACTTTTATCTTTTCCCGGCTCCATTTTCTTCTTTACTTCAATCTTATCTTCTATCTTCAGTATATTTTAAATCTTTTATCATATTGCTATGCATCATATATCTTCAGTATATTCTTCTTCAACACCATATTTTATTTTTATTCGTATATAATGTAGAGTATTTAAACTGAGACTGTCTTTCTTTTTAAAATCCTTTGTTTAATTTTATTTCAATCTCTTTTTTGCTTTGGTGCAACTCATTATTTTGCGGTTGAAGAAGTTCGTTCTGGGTGCTGCGGGACCAAACTTTAGCTCTGGCGTTGAAGTGCATAAATATACAATTTTTTTCTTGTGCTTTTCGTTTTCCTTCTCTTTATTTGTTTCTTGTTTTTTTTTTTTCTGTTTTTAAATTTATTTCTTTACTCTTTTTGTGTAAAACGGTAAACAATATAGCTTTTTGGGTTTTGGCATAATCTCTGGGGTATTAATATGCTATACTATGTATGTATGATCGTTGGCTTAGTCAGATTTCAACGGGTTCTGCTGGTGGGTGAGGTTGAGTTCTGCTGAGTTGAGATGGGATGAGTCGCAAAACGGATTTTCGTTGTGGTCAGCGTGCGGCACTCAGTCACAGAGAATCCGTTACTAACGGTTTATTCTCTCCTTACTCTAAATCGATTTAAAACGCGGCTAAGGAAATGCTCAAAGGGCATCAAATGAGCACACACACATACATACATATAAATATTTATTTATTGATATACGTGTATGTGTGTGTCTCCCCATATGGTCAGCTGTTCAGATTTATTTCAGCTGTCATAGAAGGCTTTTGAAACTCAATTAATCTTAATTAGCTTAGGTTTAATTTGTAGCCTACGCTGGAAAACTTTAATGATTGTTTATTTATAGTTAATTACTGTATTTTGTAGATGTTATTAAAAATAAATAAATGGCAATAAGTGCGAAAGATAGGAAAATAATTAAATTAACTATCAAGCTATAATTTTAAAAGCAAATTAAGTTTTAAATATATATAATTTGTGTTAAAAAATATTATTATAATTTTTTTTATATTTTTTCTTTTGCAATATATTTTTAAATATTAAAAAGATATTATTATAATTTTTTTTTTCTTTTGCAATATATTTTTAAATATTAAAAAAAATATTACAGTTTTATTTAGAATGAAAAATTAACGTTTATAAATTTTTATATATTTTTTAGCTTTGTTTATTTACAGTTTATAGTCAACAAATATCAATTGGCAACAAAACAAAAAACGCAAAGTGCAATGTCAATGGGGCCCAAGTTCAGCTTTGAGCGCAACTTACACAACTTAAAGCCGAACAAAGCAAAATGTCAACAGAGAGACAGATATAGTTCAGAGAAGAGAAGGAGAGAGCATGGGTGTGTGTGTGTGTGTGTGTGTGAGGTGGGCTGAAATCGAAAAGGTGGCCACACCAACAACTAAACGAGACGCCTAATTGAGTTTGTGGGCAAACAGTGTCACCTGCGTCACCTGCATTTGGCTAGACTCGTTGTGCCCAAAATGTTGCATTGAGAAATATTTGTATAGAATTATATAATGATAGATGTGACATATTGATCGATTGAGAAATGCATATTAAGTGCGTTTGCCTGTGGGCAGCCAGACGACGGCGATTCATAGCGACTTTTTATGGCCAAACATTTTGGCTGATGAAGAAGCTTTTTCATTTAGTTGAGCCCACTCAAAAAATGAATATAGAGAAGAACGAGACAGAGAGAGAGAGAGAGAGAGAGATAGAGATAGAGACTGCAGCTGCAGCAACTGGTCCATTGATTAGCTTTGTGTCTGCAGCTGATGATGCGATTGTGCAATTGGCTACAAAGAGTGAGAAAAGGAGAGAGAGAGAGAGAGAGAGAGAGTGGGCGTTCAATAACAACAGCAAATGCAGTTCATTATGTATAATTCATTATAATTTCTTGATTTTCATAAGCTGATTACGAGACAAGTGAAATTGGTTATAATTAAAATTAATTAAGCTGTCAGACAGAATTTAAAAAATACTAAGGAGTCATCGTGCATTGAGGAAGTGCAACAGCAGTAGTCAAGTTTTTAAGTGCACTTATAGAAGTGTGATTAATGAGTAAGATATAATTGTGCTTAAAAAGCAACTCAAATTAGTCATAAAATATTAATAATTATATATTTATAAAAATTTTACTTAATGAAATTCTTTTATTCCTTTGCAGCTCTTTGGCTCTCTTCGAATTCTGTCCACTGTTGCTTAAACTCTTTAAACAGTAAGCTGCTCCCCTGTCTAGACAGCAATGCCATCGTCATAATCATCGTCATTATCATCATCAGCAGCAGCAACAGCAACAGCGCTTAGGTAAATGCTGTCAAGGTATTAACACTTGATTACAAACGTTTTATAAGCAATACAAATAAGTTGGCTAATTACAATAGCCATTCCGTCCGTCCGTCCCTCCCTCCGTTCGCCTATCAAGAAGCTATTTAGCAAAAGTGTAAGTGGTAATTAGAGAAAGAGAAGAAGAGCGAGAGAGAGGGAGGACACACACACACACACATAGTGAGTCAGTAACACGAGAATAGTTGTGTAAATGTCAATGCTTAAAATTTAATTACAGCTGCGATTTCACTTTTTTATAGCTAAACGTTTTTCCTCATAGACTTGACCCAGTTGTCGACAAGTGGCCAAAAAAAACAAAACAAAAAACAAAAAACAAAAACTGAAGAATTCATAATTAGAAAATGAGAATAACATTTGATTATGTGTTAGCAGCTGAAGTTGTTTTTATTGTTGTCGTTCTTCTTGCTCTTTCTAGTTAGTCATCAGCTGACGCCGACGGCGACGCCGACGCAGAAGTTGACGCCCTCATGCGTGTGCGCATATCCGACCAAGACCCAATTCTCAGTGACAAAAGGAAAATTGTTATCAACTTGAACGGGCATATTGAATGACATTTCAGTACCAATTACAATAGACACACACACACCACAACAACAACAATAACAATTAAAAGACTCGTCTAGTTCCTTCGAGCACATCAACAAACATACGCAGCGACCTTAAAGAGACACTCCATGGACGACCATCGGACAGGCCACCTTCGCCGCTTGACAAGTGCCAAACGCCACCCACGGAAATGGGAAAGTTTCGAAGGTCTGGCAAAAATATGTTTTTGTTTTGCCTGACAGCTCTGCCCGTGACAAACCCAAAAAAAAAAACACACACACACACACACACACACACACACATACATACAAGTCAAAGAGTTGACTGTGGGCTGTGCCGAAAATTAAATTCACTTGACGATATATATATATATATAGTCTATGAATGTTATAGTATATCTTTGTGTATGCATAATTATTATAGGTCCGCTCTAATTTTCAATAGATTCTTGACATATTAGCCAAGGTTAGGCTTGGCTAACTTAGATTATATACACATGTAATTTTATAGTTTTTAGCACTAAATTGTAATAAGACTAAGAGCTTATCTTATCACAATTAATATTATCTTCATGTTGAAAATAAAAATTAATTAAAAATTCAATAAATTAAAATATATATTGATTAAATCTTTTGTATTTATATTATTTTTTTTCTTTACTAAATTATTTAATTTTTATTTTGAATTTGATTTTAATTATTTATTTAGTTAGTTTTTTTTAAATAATTATTTTAATGATTTTTTTTTTAATTTTTTGTTTTTTGTTTTTTTTTTTATATTTATGTTTTTTTTTTAATTTGTTTATTTTTTATTTATTTATTTGTCTCCTCTTTTTTTGGCTAATTGGTTATAAATCGAGATCGGATTTAAAAATCAATTTAGGTTTTATTCTCAAATATATTAGAAGCTTTGTCAAAATGTAACAATCTGTTTTTGAGCTAAGTCAATCGAGACTCAACCTGATTGCAGTCTGAGCCATATGAAAAGCTTGGCCAAAATGCTATAAATTGTTTTTAAACTCAACTTGATTTTTATCTGCTATAAAAAAAGTTTGGCTAAAATCTTGCCAAGACAGTTGGCAGAGAAAACCAGCATGATTTCAGTCTGATCTATTTTAAACTGATTCAGCGACTTACTAAGAGACAAACAAAGACCAAAAACACATTTTAAGACTTTCTAATATAATGTTAATCATATAGCTCAATTTATCTTATCTAAAATATATTTGCAGAGTCTTAGTCATATCTTAATTATCTAATTTACTGCCATATCGCAGACAAGGGGAACTTCCACTAGAAATTTGCAAATTGATGAGCTTTACGCCTATCGCTTTTAGCTCAAGACAGTTTTAATTCATTGTGAGTTCATTTCATTTAAATAAATATTGTATATATGAACTTTTTTGCTTAATTTAATAATTATTTTGCTCTATTTCTGTGTGGATGTTGCGCGCCTAATCAATTTCAATCTATTGAAGGCCTAGAGAAGCCTATCGAGGCCTATAACATACCGAAATAGCAACTGACGTAGGCGTCCTAATTGTATTATAACACTTAAGCGAAGGTCATGCGAAAGATGTCGAGCGGCTAAACAGACATCAGCTTTCATCTATGAGTGCTATGAGTGCGGCTAATTGTTGAAACTGTCCAGAGAGTTGATCCACTTTGTGCCTACCTTTTAGGCTCTGACACAATCAGAAAACATTTTGACTCACCGAAACTGCAAAGAGAAATAAATAAAGAAGTGTTTTAGTTTAGTCATGAAGTTTGCACTTAAGCACTATAAATTGTTTATAGACCTGTGATTAAATTATCAATAAAAAACAAAAACATAAGTTGCAAAAGGGAAATGCCAATTACTTATAGATATACATATATAACTGGACAGCGATTGGCAAATGGTATTCACCTTTAAGAAATATATTTTCTAAACTTCAGCTCAAACTCGATTGCTCCAAATGCAAAGAGAACAAAGATTGCAAAAATATAAATTTGAGCATTTTATACACATTAATTCTTATATAACCTTTCTCTTTATGTATACTTTGAACTCTGACTTATAATACCTTGAAATACATGTTTATATAGCCAACAATTCTCCCACAATAAATTAATTGCTTTGCTGCATTTAAACATAATAGAAATCAAACTAGTTTCTGTACATTTGTTTGCTTTTGTCGCTTATCTAGATTAGACTTTCAAATTTTCGTGTTTTTTTTTTTTTTTTTTTTTTTAGTATCAGATATACATATATAGCATTTAACTAATTGCGAATAGTTATCATAGAAGTTGTCAAGATAAGCGAAACTTAAAAATAAAATCGATAAGGAAAAGAGTTAGATGGCTCTAATTGGATATGCTAGACTCCAGGATACCCCGACTGCATTGTAACGTTGCTGTTGTGAGTTCAGGGGTTGGCTTAGAGCAATAGAGAGAGACAAAGATCCAATAATCAGCTCTTACGCCGTTGCATTCCATTTGGTTTCATTTCATTTTTAACTAATATCATAAAAATGAAAGAAGGGAAGCCTCATAATCTCTGGATCGCGTATAGATTCCCATCAGCTTTCATCTATCAATTTCAATCCTTATCAATCTCATATAATCCTCCTACATCAACAGCTGCTTACAGAGCTTAGAGAGATCTCAACATAAACAATATACCCTATATAAACATTTCCCAAAGGGTTCCGACTATAGGAAACAGCAAAGCAACCTCGTCGTTCGTATCGTATTGTAAAATAATGTCGCATTGAGTATCAAATGGCTGGGAAATGAATAGAAATTAAATAGAAATAGAAAAAAAAAATCAAATTAAAAAAAACTGCACTTCCTGTAGAACAAATCACATTGCAATCAGCTGATCATTTTGTATAGCTACACCAAGAAACCCTATATCGCTCCAGCCATACATAAATATATACATATACATATAAATATTCATTTATATATGTATATGCATATGTATATGCAAGTATTTGTTTGTTTGTTTGTATGCCCTAGACATGTGCCGCTAGATTTCTGATAACTGATGCCAACACTTGTGACGCACTTGGATAGGGGAATACGTGACTCTACAATTCCTAAATAGAAGCGAAGAAATATAGAATACAGTAGTTACTCAATATGGGGTAACTCTTATGTGCATCAGCAAATATACAAAATTGCATTAAAACTGTATACAATTTATTAAAATGTTGGATAATAATTTATGACTGACATGACTCATGTCAATGTTATCAAGTTCTGTTTAGCTAGCGATTACTGTTACGCTTCATCTTCATATATATATATATTATATACAAACATGAATCTATCTATTCAGACTCACAAACGTTTCATTCTGCTGCTGCTGCTTGACAACTGATTATTATAGTTTTGTTTTTTTTTTTTTTTTTAATGCGCAAAGCGTATACCGCCGTCTCTCGCTTCCCCTCCCCCTCGCTCTATCATCCTCACGCTGTCTTACTCTAACAATTCCAACACCTTTGTTGAGCAATTTGCGTATCAATGAATTTCGTGTTGTTTTCTCAGTATTATTATCTATACGCTGTCTGTCGCTCTCTCTCCCGCTCTCTCCCTCTACTTCTTCCCTTCCGTCTCTGACTATTACACCTGTTTGCTTAGCTTGCCAATTGCAAGATTCATCCGCCGCTTCGGCGGAATCTGAAATTTGTCATCAAAATTTATGCGGAAGTTCGTGTTTTTATTTTTGGTTTCGCAAGGTTTTTGGGGGTCTCCCTTTGTGATAAGCTTCCAAAACTTTTCTGTGTCAGTTGCCTGGTTAGCGCTGCTCATTGATAAGCTTCACGTCGATTTCCAATTGCTACGAATGACGCTGACATTCCATATCAATTCAATTTGATAAGGCCAAGCCAAATCGTATAGGATCTATCTATAAAATAATATTCCACTTCATATTTATTTTTATGTACCTATAAAAGAGATGTGATGATTGTGTGTATAAGGTGAAAGTATTACGAGGTATGGAAATATTGATAGTACTTGATAGATGTTATAGAGTGGGTAAGTCATCTAGACAGTAGAATAACCTAAAGAGGATAATTGTAAGTAATATGGTTTCAAATAAATCTAAATATTGGTATGGGTTTATTTAAAAGAATTCTCTAGAAAGTAACAAAAAATAGTATTTATAAATCAAAATCTTATTTCAAATATACATTAATCTTAACTTTAAAAACAATCTTATACAGGTTATGTACTAGTCAAGTATTCCCACACCTTTTCCTCGCTGTCAGCGCCTTCAGACGCTATAAAACTCTTATACAGGGTATAAGCTAGTCAGTTCTACCCATGAAAGTCTCAATTTTTTCAAGTTTCCAGCGATTTCTGTGGCTATCAAATGATAGTGCAGCACGCATAATACCTCATGTTTGGTCTCATTCTGCTCGAATACGTTTTTCTTTTATTGGGGGTGCCAAGAACTTTGTTGCCCGAGTTCAGTTTTAGGTTCCTTCTAATCTCGTTCGATAATACACAAACATTTGGGGCGTGTGTGCTGCAGCAGAATATGTAGAATTTTAAAATTAGGCGATCGACTGACTGCGTGTGGATTTTCTAGCGTAAAGATTCTCTATAAAGATTTGTGTGTTATTTCAGATTAACAACATGAATGGCATTGACCTTGCCTGGGTTGGGTGTATTTAAAGCGCTTTCGAAATGTTTGATTGCGATTTGTGTTTCCATCTTATTTAGGGCAAAACTTTAGCAAAACTTTTATGGATCTACCTTATCATATATATATATATTTTTTTTTTTGACCGCGACCTCAAGCAGCTTGGATTTTTTTTAATTTTAAAATTTTTATGTTTTTTTTTTTTTTTTAATTAAATTTTGACCACAATTCATGCAAAAAGCGTATTTGGCTACTCTTCTGGAGGGGCTACGCGCTCGTCTAACGGTACTTTTGGCACCCAAAAATTATAAGAAAAAAAAATATGAAATGAAATGGCGCAAATGCCAAAAAAAAAAAAACCTTAAAAAATCAACAGCAACAACTGCAAAGTAAATACTTATGGTAATAGCATTTGAGGTCCGTTAGGAAACGGAGCAGTTGAGGGGCTCGTATCGTAAGTGGGTTAGCTGCTTCTGCTGCTTCTTCTTCTTCTTTGTTTTTAACTTTATTTTCATCTCTATATGACACTTCAACGGGACCATAAAGAGTTAAAATTAAATATATATGTATATAAACAAATATATAAATATATACATATACAAATCACACCTGAGGGCATGCGAATAGTGGCACTATATATTTGTGTGCGTGCGTGCGTCTGTGCGTCTCTTGCCAAACGAAGTGCAGCAACAACAAAATACAATAATATATTACATTAGAATTTCTAAGCAGGGCAGCATTTGCATAAGCTACTGCGTTTTATAGCAGGCAGACTGCGAGAGAGATTGCTTTTGGCTACATACTTGTATATTTATAAATATTCAATTTACTTTTCCAACGTTTGGAGAGCGCTTGGAGAGCGAAACAGCATGCATAAGCAATTTAAAGATGCGGCTTGGCTGCTGAGTTTTATAGCAGCGAGCTGCGATGCAGACGCTGTCAAATCAGCGATCTTTGTTTGGGAAGAGCCTAAAGGACGAAGATAAATGAGCGAGCGAGAGAGAGCACTCAACTTAAATAAATTCGCCGTTACATAGCGAACATGTTACAGGAAAAAATAATCGTATTTTAATCTGAGTTATATAGCATTAAGCATGGCAATAATCTACAGGCTGCAGATTTAAAGGAAAGAACTTAGCAATAAAAGAATGAGGATGAGAACTAAACAGTCTCTATTTTTAAAAGATAACTATGGGGGAGTATTACAATAAAGGAGCAAAAAACTATCAACAAATAATACTTAAATTATTAAAGGAGTTATCAAACCGACTAAATACTATCAAAGCTATATCTACTCTTAATAGTCTAAATCACCTCAGTGAAATTTAAAACCTATTTTTAAATCAATTTATGGAGCATGTATCGTTTTATAGCAAATGGCCTTGTATATCTCATATGTATCCCTTCATACATCATTTTTTATTAACAAAAATTCAAGGCATAATCAATTAAAAAATTTCCAACCAAAGAGAATATTTTACTAGCGTATTTTATAGCACAGACCTTTTATAGCAGCCAGCTTTTATAGCTAGCATGAAATGGAAAGCTGAGCAAAATCGAAACTCAAACACGTGCTGCAAATCGATTACAAGAAAATAGCGCAACAAATCGCAAAACAAAAAGAAAACAAACTAAGTTTATTAAAAATTCTCTTAAGCAAACAAAGCGTTGATTAGTCTCAAAGGGGGGCCCCAAAAAATGAAAAAAAAAGAATAGCAACAAATGCAGAAAATTTATTAAAAAAAAATAAAATTGGCTTAAATCTAGGTAAAATTTCACTCGTATCGAAACGTCAGCAACTATAACCGAAGATGTTTGCTCTCTTTGTCTTACTGTCAATCTGTCTCTCTCTCTCTTTCGTTCGCCTTCTCTCTCTCTCTCTCTCTATTTCTATCTTTTAACATGACTCGGCTGTTGCTTTGATTAACCCTCGTTTCGATGCTGATTTAAATCTTCTTTGGCAACAAAAGTCTCAGCCCCCTTTTGTTCCCCCCTTTGTTCGCCCCTTTGACTGCTCATTAGTGAGCCGACGAACGGCATTGACAACAATATCGATGCTTTTGTAAATTGATTTTCTTTTTAGGTTCTCTGCGCTCTTCTTTTTTAGTTTTGTGCAAAAGTTTCACCTGCTGCCGGTTCGCTGGCTCGCTGGTTCTTTTATTGATTCACTATAACCACACAAAGTTGAAAAGAATTTCCATGAGTTTTCATCCAAAATTTTTCTATTCAGCGAGTCACCGCCGTGCCACTCAAAAGCCATATACATGTTGGGCCAAAACACAGAACTAATTTGCCAAATGTATTTCAATGGAAAAAGCTGCTTTAAAACCGCAAAAACAGGAGAGCTTTTCCAATCGGATGTCACCGCCCGCAGAATACTCATTCACGACCTTAACGCAGTCAGATCTATTTTTAAATTTGCCATGACCCCAATGATATATGTTAGTTTTACGGGCATCATTGGAGGATAGCTCTAGCTCTAGCTCTAAAACTGTAGAACATATATCCACTATATCATCTTTTAAATCTTTAGACATACAGACGAACACCAATACGGACATTGCCCAAAACTAACATACTCACCTCACTTTCCTGAATGAGTATAAAAACATATATATATTAGTATTTCAACGCTAAATTCAATAAAACTTTGAGTAGGTAAAGTGCTAAATAAATAGGCATAAAATACTGCTTAGAAACAAAACGAAACGAAAAGAATTAAGTAAACAAACATAGTAAAATTGGAAAACTAAGCATAAAGCCGCAACAACTCGCTTATCTGTAAACATCTTACTAATGTCAGCTACTTTTATATAGCTGAACCTTATCGGCCTGGTACGTTTACCTCAAGTGGCGCTACGAATTTCTCAGTTCTGTTTGTTTATAAACAAAGCAAAACACAACAAAAGTTAAGCTATATACATATATGTATATATACTATAGTCGGGTCGGAAATGTGAACGGGCTAATAGATTGAATGAAAGCTCCGGGCACAGATGTTCAGCAATTTGTATTCACAAATATTATTGAGCGCAATCCAACACCTCGCAATTATTTATTGCAAATGTCATCGGACCCAAGAATATTTAATTGATATTATACTTAAAACATCGGTGCTGAGATTTCCGATCAGATTTCTGATTTCGAAACGTGCTATATTTTGGTAAAGGCAGCTCCATAATGCGATGTATATATATAGAAATTAATATAAGTAAATATATATATATATATATGTGTATATATATATATATATATATATATATATATATATATATATATATATTTTTTTTTTTTTTTTTTTTTTTTTTTTGCAATCATAAAAGTTTTAAAAATTAATTTATTGTTACATAAATCATTCACCATAATTCCATCTGATTTTGGCTAAGTGTTTATAGGAGACAGTTTAAATCATTTAATATGTCAAATATGTTTACATATATATATTTGTAAATTTAATTATAATTTATTATCCCAATTTTAAAAATTTTCAACTGGGTTAACTTAAATAAAGCTCAGCTTTTTAGCTCATTTTTATTTATAGAAATATTTCTACATTAAATACTTAATAATTATTATTTTTATCTGTTACTTAATTTTATTTTTGTAATTTATTTTTTATTTTTATCTTTTACTTAGTTTTCTGGTAAGTTTTTTCATTCGATTTAAATATTAAAAAAAAAAAAAAAACTTAATTAAAATTTGTTTAGTTTTTGATGTTTCTATTCAATTGTTAAATTAAATACTACTCCACTTTTCATATATAATAAAATGAAAATAATTAATTTGCAAAGAATAATTTTAATATTCAAATTTTAATTCATTCTACTTTTGTCATTAATTAAAAAATGTACATTATATTTCATCCTTTTCATTTTAATGAATAAGAAATGCAATTAAAAGAGTTTTCGTGCCGCAACTTCATTTCATATGAATACAGAAGGCAAAGCAAAACTCCTTTTATTTCGCACTCGCTCACACTCACAGCACACAGACAATGTCCTGTTTTTTTGTTTGTTTTTTTTTTTTTTTCGAAGAGATGCTGCACAACTCTCCCTGTTCTATGAGCTCAGTTGCAAAAACTCTCTTTCGCTCTCAGCTTTTGACATGAAAAAAAAAAACAGAAAAAAAACTTCATGCAGGGCGCGCAAAAAAAAAAAAAAAACAATTGCTATTTTGTTGTTGTGTTGCCTCTGTGTGTGTGCAAGCCTATGCTGGCCGTAACTGTATTTGTGCTTCTTCTTTACCTTATGTTTATTATTGTTGGTGTTGCTGGTGCTGTTGTCGAAGCCCAAATTCTAATTGGAATCGCTTTAGTAAATTGTTGAAACACTTTTAATTTGTTTTGTTAAACTGTTAAACACTTTGCATTGAATGAATATGAATATTAATTTTGTATGCCGTTAGATTTTTAAAATTATTATTATTTATTTTATTTTTTTAAGCAATTAATTTATATTTGCTTCTTTTCCTCTGAGCGTTTCATTCAACAAATTTTTTCTCGTCGTCGCGTTGTATTTGATTTACCGTTATTAACGAATTTCACTTTCAATTTTTTCTTATGGATTTATTTTTATTTAAATTTTTATTTATTTTTAACTGAAAATATTGCCGCGTTTTATTGCACCGACTCCGATTACGAATAGAACACAAACATCAGCGACTGCAGTTTCTTTTGGGATGCTGCTGCTGCTGCTGCCGCTTCTCTCACAATTGAAATCAACAATGCGCGAACAATGCGAAAACAAATGACAAAAACCTTTTGGGCAACTTGAAAGCGAATTTCAACTTTCCGCTCCACACAACCGCACAGCGCGAAAAAATTTTCTGAACTGAAATCCAATAAGAGTCTGCTGGCAGCAAGCAGCGCAACAGTGACAGCCAGCTGCAAGCGACGGACAAAGGCAACGAAAACGAGTCGAATAGAGTTCGGATAATATACACGAGTACATGCCCTGTAAAATACTAAATGTTGCACGTAAGTAGTTTAAAAATATTGCATGTATAATTTTCGATTGTTTTATTGAAATTTTTATATTATATACGAACATCATCTCATTTATATTATTAATAACATTTAAAATGTGTATATTTCTATATTATATAAATTATCTGCCGACGAATCGTGTATACCCCATATTACTGTATACACTCAGCAGGCAAACGCACGACGACAACAACAATACAAAGTACAGCTCTCAAAAGTAGCAGCAACAACAATATCTGTTTCACTGCAAACACAATGTAGAGAGCGAAGCGAACAAGAGAGATAGAGAGAACGCGCATGTGAGAGCAACGCACTACCACCAACAACAACAGTGGCAAACAAAAAGTAAACACAGTGGAGCAGCATAATTACATATAAGAGCGTAAATACAGAGAGAGCAAGGTAGTGAGCAGCAAAGGTGTACGTGTGGGTGAGCTATCGGCACTGCGTATGTGTGTGTGCCTAAGCGGGCTTTTTGTTGTGGGTTTTGTGACGACATATGTATGTATGTATGTTGATAGAGAGAAAGACGCAGAGTAAATAGCATGGAGTAATGTTAGAAGTTTTGACTGTGGAAAGACAATATTTATGTTAAGTGTGTTTTATCTAGATAAACAGTCATTGAAACAGCCACCCCCAAGAACACATTACTTCGATTTCAACAAACACGAGCCCACATTAAATATATATTACCCCCACTTCACTTTCATAATATCATGCAGATCGATCATGTTGCATGCGGCTCTTAAAACAACCCTCATTGCATGTAATGACAGCACATTAAATTACTTTCAACGAAATGCGAAACACTTCACTCATGATTATCATGCCCGCATATGACCGATGGCCATCGAAATTGCATTGTTACGAACTATGTTTTATTGGCCTTCATTCGAACACTTGAATTTCAACCCCCCGAGTGTTGATAAATTGCCCCGTGACAAATCTGTGCAACCGATCTTGAAATGTAGGAAATCACAGCGATTGACAGTCTGGCAACGCTTTAAGCGCCACTTCAGGGCAAAGTCAAAATGCAAATGCAAAATAATTTCTTTACCGTCGCGACGGTCGCTCTCTTGTTATTGTTGCTATCTCTGTCGTTGCTGGAGAGCATGCAAAGACAGTGTATGCAAACACAATTATGAGCGTGCTCATTCGTTCGCTCCCGCTCGCTCTCTCTCTGTCTGACTGACGCTCTCCAGCTGTTAACAGCGCCGCATGTGGTAGCAATAACAACATGATGTTAAATAACAGTGTCGCTTAACATTCAATGTTGGCAATTAAGGTTTGTTACTCGAGGCAAGATTTTTCATTTATAAATACTAATTAAAAAGAAAATATATTATATTCAATGAAAATGACGTATATATTTTACACAATAATTCGATTAAAGCGTGACATAGAGGAAGTAACCCGGCAGCTGATAATGTACCAACATGAACAAATCTTGCGTTGCGACAATCTGCGGGCATTTGTACTCTTATCAAACACAAAGGAGAAGAAGAAGGGGACAACAACAACAACAAAATGTTTATTCCAATTACAACATACGCAACAGCTGTTGACAACAGGCCAACTGAAAGATCGAGTAAGAAAAACCAGAAAAAAAAAAAAAAAAAAAAAAAAAAAAAGCAAAAACAAAATGAAATGAAAGGAAAGAAAAACAAGAAATCAAAACAAGCTCAACAAATCGAGCACAGACGATGGAAAATGTTGGGGATGTGCTTTGAATAATTACGATCTCTCGATCGGGCCCGGGTGCTAACATACCCAAATCATGGCCAGAACAAATGACATGGAATTGTGTCGATCACGAGCACACGCCCCGAATTGTCAACATCGTTCAACAGGATTGTTGAACTAATTTTTATAGCCATTCTGATAGCGATCAAAATGATGAAGTTTCTGGTGGGAAAACAGGTGCAGCGGAATGAAGAAGGTATATTAATGAAAGTTGTAGTAAAAACAATGTGACGCTGTAAAGAAAATGTTAAGAAATATATAATTATAATAGCAGCTGTTTGACCCATCAGGCAAATTGAGTTTACTACCTCTATTGGGTGGTTTTTCTGACTTTGTGTTAGACTTTGCTTTCCATTTATTTTCTTATTATTATTATTATTTTTTTTTTTTTTTTTAATATTATTTAAACTTTTTTTGGCCAAAATAGAATTTTAATTAATTTACTTAAAGAAAAATGTATTAAATTATTATTTATTAATTATTAATTAAATTATTATTTTTTAATTGCATTTTGTTCCAAACGCCTTAAACTAAATAGAAAATTAAATAGAAATAAATAAATTAAGTACATTTTTTATGATTAAAATAAGAATAAAATTAAATAATTTTAATAAAATTAATTTAAATTGGTTTATTTATTTTTATAGCTACATTTTTTTGATCAATATAAATAAATTTATTTTCTTTAATCCAATTATTTAAATAATTTTGTTTAAAAGTTGCTTAGTTTAATTTTTATTAAACGTTAATTTAATTTTCGTTTTATTTTAAGGCGTTTAAAAAAAAAAAATTCAAAACATAAATAGTAGTAGTATTAAAATGTGGTGAAAATTAAATTAGGTTTTTTTTTTATACTAGGGTAAAAACTAAAACATTTAAACATTTAGTCAAGTTTATAATTATAATTCTTTTTTTTTTCTTGTTTTTCGAATTTTTTAACGTTTATAATTTTCTTAACTATTTCACCATTTTTTTCCACACAATTTCTTATGTATATTTTACAATTACAATTAGATCTTTTCTTATCAGGCTATCTCAGCCAGCTATTGCTATCTCTGTCTGAAATGCAGTCTTCGATCGTAGGTGCTGTCCAATTGTAGAGCAAGCAACAGTAGCCAACTGAAGATATATCATATAATTTCTTTCCAAGAAATCAGCATAGGTCAAGCAGACGATGCAGACGAACCCAGACGATAGACAGAGGGAGACAGGGAGTGCGAGGGAGACAGACAGTGAAATTGGCGGCGATTGAATGGAAGACCCCGACGACGACCTCAGAGACAAACAGACACAGAGACAAACACAGAGACTGAGACAGACAGCTAAATATACATACTTCATAAGTAATCAAAAAAAGTTGCGTAGGACCAGTGCAAGAAGAAGAAGAAGCAGCAGACTCCAGCTGAAGTAGAAGAAGCAGACAAAGGCAGAGTCTAGACTCTGATGAGCTGCAGATAATGCTGCTCAGTTTTTATATCTACATTTATATGAACTTTTTTTTTTTTTTTTTTTTTTTTTGATAAATGCGGCTCATCATGTAATTTTAAACGCAACGCGCATGTTAAACAAACAGTTTTCCGTGACAGTGTAAAATTTTAGCCCCCTTCCCCCACCAGAGAGGGGGTTACAATGGGGACCTACATGTATGTGTGTGTGTTTGTATGTGTTTGGGCCAACCTAATGTAATACTTGACAGCGGGATGACGCGTAAAGAAAGCGAGTGTTAAATGCAACTTTTATGCCATGTTGTTTATCTGCTTCTTCTGCTTCTTCTTCTTCTTCTTCTTCTTGCAACGTGTTGATGGATCTCTTCCTGTCATACATATAAAACAAGAAACAACAGAGAGAAGGAGAAAGAGAGAGAGGGGGCGAGAGAGGGCACAAAGAGAAAGAGCTGCCAGCCCGTTTAGTGGCAATGCATGTGGGCTGATATCGTGATAGAACTTGTTACGCTTCTGTTTCTTCCTCTTCTACTACACTTAACTCGTAGTCGCATTCGTAGTGATTGTTCTGGCAAAAAAAAAAAAATTATCATTCCAAATGCGTGTACCCCCCACACACACGGAATGTATGGGTGCAGCTGTGTGCATGTGTGGGTGTGTGAAGGTGGCAGCAGGTAGCAAAAGCTTTCGAAATGAAGAACTTGATGATATGCCATAAGCATAAATGTACCCTAGACCCTATTTACAATTCAATTCTATAATATTTTTTACATACTTTTTTTATGTTTATGACAATCGTAAAAAATTAACTAAATGACATACATAGATTTTATAAAAAAAAAAAAAACAACTGTTCTTGACATACATTTATATGTGAATAGAGTTTCCATTTAATAATAATTTGGAAATTTGGTATACTAAATATATGTTGGTATATAAATAATAAAACAAAAATCAAATGAAATATTTGTACTAAAAATGATATATTATTAAATTTAAATTATATTAGGTAATCAGTTACCTTCAGAGGCAGAGAGATTCTAAACTAAATACATATTCGTATTTAGATACTAAAAAATATATTTATAAAATGAAATATTAATTACTCAAAATACATTTAAAATTTAATTAAATTTAAATGTTACATTTGCATATATATATTAAAAATTCTATCTCTTTTTAATTGTTTGTTTAATAATGCAAAAAAATACAAAATGCTAAAATATATATCAATAAAATGAAAGATCTACAGACGAATAATGTGATATCACATTATCTCTTACTCTATTAAATAAAATAAATGAAGCAAATGATCTAAGTATATTGCAGACTTCGGACAAAATATTAAATCCCTCTTATACAAAAAAAAAAAAAAATTAAAAATTTTAAATTATAGTACAGAATCTTCCCAGAAAAGAGAAAGCGAAAAAAGTAAACTAGCTCAGAGTTTCATCTAACCTATTATTAAATAATAGAATAAGTTCCAACCTAGCCTAACCTAAGCCAAACTTAAGCTGACATAACTTTCTATAATAGCTCTTCAGCTCTCTCTCTCACGCTTCGCTCCCTCTCCAGTTGTCTCTAGAATGACAAAACGAGGAAGTAATTATAAACTCTGCAGACTGTTGAAAAACAATAATTCAGCATGATAAAGACGCCCATTTCTTGGGCCACATACAG